ACAAAACCACCGGGGATGGAATAATAAGTGCTTCGCGCCAAAAACACAGTTTGAAACGATGAAACTGTAGGATTAAATAGTAGACGGCGTTAACTTTTTCTCTTCGTCCCTCTGCGCCGTAATGAGGCTAGATTTGGTGTGGATTTTTTCCATTATGTATTGAATCTGCAGTCCGGGTCGAAAGTCTGTTGAAAGTGTTAATCTAACCTCTTTCCGTCTAGACCAGGGGTAGGCAACCTTGGCTCTTTTATGACTCATGGACTTCAATTCCCAGAATTCCTGAGTCAGCTATGCTGACTCAGGAATTCTGGGAGTTGAAGTCCATGAGTCATAAAAGAGCCAAGGTTGCCTACCCCCGGTCTAGACTCTAGAACGGGTAGGCAACCTTGGCTCTTTTATGACTCGTGGACTTCAACTCCCAGAATTCTTGAGCCAGCATGGCTCAGCTTGGAACCTCTCCCTTTCCCCTCAGCATGGCTGGCTCAGGAATTCTGGGAGTTGAAGTCCACGAGTCATAAAAGAGTCGAGGTTGCCTACCCCTGCTCTAGAAGATGAAATTAAAATTCTCAAGGGGGTCATTAAGGATCAGAATACGAAGTTGCTCTTCTTTTTAAATACTCGAAGTGCGAGATGTGCACCTTTGAATAGGGCTTCTAGATCGGAGCTTAAGTTTTGTTGTTCGGTAGAAGTGATTCATAGGAGATGATCTGTAATGGGCTGGCTGACAATCAGCAAATCGAGATTAAATCCAGTCTATGGAAGGGATGCTATTACTGAATAAAAAGTTTTACTTCTAGTTCAGTCTGTTTTAGAAGGGTTATTTTCTGAGGATTCAAAACACAGGATCCAAAGCAAATAAGGTTCACTGCAATATTTATTAATGGTGCACATTGGAGGAATTCCCTCCAGAGAATAGTGGGAGAAAGTCTTGCAGACAAAAGGATGCACTCATATTTATACATTTCAGAAAGGAGTAGAAAATGATAGTCATACGATGATGACAGCATTTACTTCCCCACCTTTCTACTGGCCACACTTGGAATACTGCATCCAGTTTGGTCACCATGATGTAAAAAAGATGTTGAGACTCTAGAACAGGGGTGTCAAACTAGCAACGTCACATGATGTGTCGCAATGTATCACAACTTTTTTTTCCATTGCGGCAACGGGGTGGGCGCAGTTTCGCTATGATGCATTCGGCCCACAGGCTGACAGTTTGACACCCCTGCTCTAGACAGAGTGTAGAGAAGAGCAACAAAGATGATCAGGAGACTGGAGGCTAAAATAAAAAACAGTTGCTGGAATTGGGTATGTCTAGTTTAATGAAAAGAAGGACTAAGGATGACATGATAGCAGAGTTCCAGTGTTTAAGGGGCTGCCCCAAAGAAGAGTGGGGTCAATCTATTTTCAAAAGCACCTGAAGGCAGAACAAGAAGCAATGGATGGAAACTAATCAAAGAGAGAAGCAACCTAGAACAAAGGAGAAATTTCCTGACTGTTAGAACAATTAATCAGCGGAACAACCTGCCTCCAGAAGTTGTGAATGCTTCAACACTGGAAGTTTTTAAGAAGAGACTGGACAACCATTTGTCTGAAATGGTATAGGATTTCCTGCCTGAGCAAGGACTAGAAGACCTCCAAGGTCCCTTCCAACATTGTTACTATTACTACTATTTTTACTATTATTATTACGGTTCAAGAAAGAACTGTCTAAATGAGAAGGAAACATAAAAGTTACATTGCTACAGAAATTTGATAAGTTTTTCTGAGAACCCAGGCACTTCAAGATTGCCTTTTTAAATGCCAATTTGTACACATTCCTTCTATATTTCCAGTTCACTAACATGCTCCCAACTCCTCTAGGAATTTATTTTTGACAATTCACCCTGAAAGATCAATTCCATAGCTTGGTTCCTGGATTTTCACAGATTATTGGTAACGAGGTGTTTTTATATACAGTATTTACATTCAGTGCATTAGTTGGAATTGCTGCTGAGTCATTCCTTACTAGCAGCGATATTGGAATTAGCCATTGGGTCCTGAGACAAGCTACCCTTGAAGAGGATTTGTCTGAGCAAAATGTTGCAATATTGATTGGCATATCTACTGGAATAAAACCAGTCAATGTTTGTTATTGAAGATATCCTGTTGAAGAGTCAGCAAGGCCTCTTCCATACTGAAAAGTCTTCACAGGTGGTCAATTAATTTTTAGACCCAATTCAGAAACTTTAAAATTTAGAATCTAATTACCTGAGGTGATAATCGCCCTTCATCTATAAACCTACCCAGTTGTTAAGATCTGCAGAAAAAGCTTATTCCGCTTTTCTCATTGATTTTTCCTCATGGATTATAGATTCTGCCCCTTTGGAACAGCTTGATTGATATGTAGTTTCTGTAATTACATCTTTAAAACTGACAACCATTTCAAATCAATAGTTGTTTTTCCAACTGTGCACTTTTCCAAAATTTCTAGTAAAACATTTACTAGATTGTTAAATACTTGGAAAGGACTATGTTAAGTATGCAATATTCCCATTCAAGCAGTGTTCAGAGGAAGAAAATTACGCTTTATGCCTCTGCATTCTTATCTGAGAGAAAGGTATTCTATTGAATACCATGGTCTACAGGTGGTCCTCAACTTATGACCACAACTGTTAAGTTTGTAGTAGGGTTAAGTGAATCTGGCTTCCCCATTGACTTTACCTTGCAAAAGGTAATCACGTGACCCTGGGACGCTGCAGCCATCATAAATGCATGCTACTTGCCAAGTGTCTGAATTTTAATCACGTGACCATTGGGATGCTCCAAAGGTCATAAATGAAAAACCGTCATAGGTCACTTTTTTTAGTGCCACTAAATGAATGGTTGTAAGTCAATGACTACCTGTACAAGATAAACTAATCAAGATACAACGTGAATGAACTGGATCAAAGAACATATTATATACTGTTATGATCAGATCAAGGATGAATGTTTGTCCAAATAAGTTTCCAGGAGGATTTCAACCTAACTTATACATACATACATACATACATACATACATACATACATACATACATACTATTAAAAATTACACTAAAAATGGTCGAGTGATTCCTGGGTACATACATGTTAAAAGCTGTACAACGACACTAGAACACCAGGAAGAGTTAAAACCAAAAAAGTTTTAATAAATATTTAAAAACCTAGCTTTCGTTGAATATCTATCAACGTCATCAGGGTGTGTGTTGGTCAGTGGGAGGGCCCCTTTATAGATGAAGTGATGTTAACGCCCCGACTCATAGATCTTGTTACTGGGCCCAGCCGGCCATTCAACTCTATAGTTGTGGCTTCTGTAGTGTTGGCTACAGCAGTAATCCAGCCAACACTACAGAAGCCACAACTATAGAGTTGAATGGCCGGCTGGGCCCAGTAACAAGATCTATGAGTCGGGGCGTTAACATCACTTCATCTATAAAGGGGCCCTCCCACTGACCAACACACACCCTGATGACGTTGATAGATATTCAACGAAAGCTAGGTTTTTAAATATTTATTAAAACTTTTTTGGTTTTAACTCTTCCTGGTGTTCTAGTGTCGTCGTACAGCTTTTAACATACATACATACATACATACATACATACATACATACATACATACATACATACATACATTTGTCCAAAGAGTTTCCAGGAGGATTTCAGCCTAATTATATATATATGGCTAACATTAACCTGGTCCACTCCATTGTTATCCAGCTGGTGGGTGGTTGTGTCATTAATAGGGACAACTTTTCATTGGCTCAGAGGTGGCCAAATGACACTTTATTCCAGTTAAGCTCAGGGCCAAGGGAAAAATTGTACAACAGCTCCAAGCATTCTTTACATATGAATAAACTTACACCTGTTGTGTATAAATCTTTGTCTTGAGAAGAAAGGATAATTTGCAAGGATGGAAGAGTAAAGGGGAGCTCTAGGGCACAGTGTTGGTTTAAACTAGATGTATTTTTAATGTCTTTATTATTGCTTATAAATAAGGGAGCAAAGGTACCTAATACTCCTCTCTATTTTCCCTTCAACAGGTGAATTGGTCTCAGAGAAATTGACTGACTCAAAGTCACCCAGCTGGTTTTTCATGCCTAAAGCTGGATTAGAAATCATCTCCTCAAGTCTGAGGCTAGCATCTTAACCACTGGTTTAGATTTTTTTTTTCTAAATCTTATCACTTTTGCTAATTACATGTCACTTTTTTGTCACTTTATAACTTCACTTACCCTAACAGAAAATAACATGCTGGATATGTATGCATGTACATTATAATTATGTTTATCCCACAAGCATAATGCGCCTTGGGAGTTTTTTTTTAAAAAAAGTATGTTTTAGTTCATTTCAGACCTTAAATAAATTTCATCTATATGTTCCTCCATGCTTGCAAGGTCATAATTCAATCTTTTTGAACTGAATTTTGATCCTACTTCACTCAAGTCCCATCCTGAGACACTAAAGCCAACTAAATTATTCTGTCTTACAGTAAAATCTCCAATCGGAGGTATTTAACAGAATTTTTTGAAGGGGGGGGAAAAAATATTTATTTATTTATTTATTTATTTATTTATTTATTTATTTATTTAAATTTATATCCCGCCTTTCTCCTTGCGGACTCAGGGCGGCTAACAACCGGATAAAAAATACAAAATATCAGACTACAAATTTAAAAGTTAATTAAAAGGCAAATATTAATAATTGGTCTAATTAAAATTATAATTAAAACCCCCTCTAAAAATTTTCCCCTAGGCCAGTCCCGCAAGCTGGAATAACCATGTCTTAAGGGCGCGGCGGAAGGAAGGGAGATCAATATATATTTGGAAGTCGCTTTAGGAAAAGAACAGAACGTTCCTAGGTATCCTCGAAAAGCACATCAGGAAAGAAGGGGAGGAGCTTTTTAAAAAAAATACCCTTCCACCAACTCCCCCCCTGTGTGTGTGTGTGTGTGTGTTTGCTAATTTTGCAGGCAACCACAAACACAAAGCCGATGAGCTGGCCAGCTCGTCGCTCTTAACCCGGTTTTGCTGACGTCTCCCTTGCCGCCCCTTCTGGCGCTGCTGCTGCCGCTCCTGCCGCAGAAAGCCGGATGGGAGGAGAGTCGCTATGGACGTGCAAGTCGCGCCGCTGAGATCGTGGGACGATTTCATCCCGGGCCACGACCGCTTCGCCGTGCCGGATTTCAAAGATATCTCCAAATGGAACAACCGGGTGGTCAGCAACCTGCTCTATTACCAGACCAATTACCTCGTGGTGGCTGCCGCGGTGTTTTCCATCGTGGGGTAAGCGCGTCGGCCGGAGGATGAGCGGCGTGGCCCCCGGGAATAGCGTTGCCCTTTAAGGCTAGCAGCAGGGCGATGGCGAAGTTTAAGCTCCAGAAGTCTCTCCCTCTCCCGCCGGCCCCATTGCAGAAGGATCGCCGTGGGGAGAAAAGAGGGCAGGGCGTCGCTTGGCGTTTGAGCTGCCCTTCTGATATGGGAAGCAGCCCTATGGAAGTATAAGGCTTCCGGTTAAGGAGAGCTGTCTCCAAAATGCCTTGAACCATCTTCCCACCTGGAGCCTCCGCGGCCCCGCTGCAGTGACAACTCCCAGAATTAGGCCTACCTTCCCCCGTTTTTTTAAGATGGAGGAAATATTTATACGCAACTGTTCCTCGATGTATTTCCTAAAGTTAACGAAGCTTGGTTGCAAAGCAGCGAATGGGATTATTGTTTTAACTAGAGAGAGTAGGTATATTTGAGAATCTTGGATTATAATCTCAGGGTAAATGTTTAGATACAGGAAAAAGCAGCCCAGTTTGCTTTCATTTTATATATAAAAAAAGCTATTTCTGCTTTACATAATAAACTGCCATAGATGCGCTTCCAGGAAAAAATAGATTTAAAATTCCATTGAAGAGTTGCCACATAAAGTGTGGTTTGAGGTGGAGCAAGTAAACACCAAGTTTCTCTTTGGAGGCCATTGATGACGAATGATGTGACTAATAGTATATTTTGGCTATCAGTGGCCTTTAAAGGGATTATCAAGGTTCCCTTTAGTTTTAAAGCTGTATCTTTAAAATAGTGTTTCGTTTCTGCAGTGCTCATGGGAGCAATAAAAATAAAATGACAGTGCTACTTTGTGTCTTTTAGTATTTTAGCCTTATTGATTAGTGTTACTTGAAAAAGTAAACTATGTGTCACTGTTTAAATAATTCAGCATTTCAAAAGCATTTCTCAGTTAATAACTATGGAGACAAGACCTTTTGAAAAGGTATGACTCTTCTTTAAACATAAACACAATTTCATCTGGATATGAAAAAATTATGAAATATGAAAAGTCCACATTTGGTGCTGCCATTGCATAAATGAAATGCAGCCAGATAATACATTTTCATTATAACCAATGAAGTTTGTTGGGTAATATGTTTGTCTTCATGGAACATGCATTACGGGTAATCCTTGATTTATGACCACAATTGAGCCCAAAAGACCCAAGACAGTGAAGTGTATTTTGCCTTTTACGACCTGTCTTGTTACAGTTGTTAAGTGAGTCGCTGCAATTGTTAAGTGAATCTGGCTTCCCCATTGACTTTGTCAGAAGGTTGCAAAAGTTGATCACATGACCCCGGGACACTGCAACCATCTTAAATTCAGGCCAGTTGCCAAGAGTCCGAATTTTGATCATGTGACCAAGGAGATGCTGCAACGGTTGTAAGTGTGAAAAAATTATTTTATTTATAAAATGTATTGGCTACCCATGTTACCATAGGGTAACTCTGGGCAGCTTGCAGTTACATATAAGCTAAAACATAAAAAGTTAAAAAACATTAAAAATGGTTATAAGTCAGTTTTTTTCAGTGCCGTTGTAATTTCGAAGTTGCTAAACAAATAGTTGTAAGTCAGGGATTAACTACTTCAAATTATTGCTTAAAACTATTGTATGTTAATATATAAAATATATTCTATACGATGTAATATTGTATATCAACATACAATAGTCTATAACTAATGGACAGGTTATATAATGGAATGTGCCCCTGCAGGAGTTGAGGGAGGGGTTGGCAACACAGAGCCTTCCCAGAGAGCCACCGAAATTCAGAGACTCCACAGTCCCAAGCTGGATAAGGGAGGGGAAAGAGGTTCAGGGTAGCAACACTCTAGAATCTCTTGGTATATCTAATAGGTTAGAAGATTATTGCTTTAGTTTGGCAAGATTCTGTCCATTAGTTGTAATTAAAGTATTGGATTCAGTTGGATTTTGTTGTCTTGTCTCGGGTTTGGGCCTGGCAAGTTAATGGTAAAATTTTGTATAGATATTGTAGTGGATCATGATTTTGATTTCAAACTTGTTTTTCAACTTTAAATAATAGTATAAAAGCAGCATATCTCATAAGATCTCCAATATTTTCTTCATGCTCTATGCCAGGGCTTTTCAACCTTTTCACCCATTGTACCACTTTTAGGATATGGCAACATCCGAGTACCACCAGTCGCCTAGCAAGGTGTCAAAAACTTGATGACCCTTCTCCCAAAAAAGGAAAAAAGTGATGAAGTACAGGTAGTCCTCAACTTACAACAGTTCGCTTAGTGACTGTTCAAAGTTACAATGGCACTGAAAAAAGTGCCCCCAAGCCACAGCCGAGCAAGACACCTGCCTGCCCGCCCAGCCGCACTCTTCTTTCTGTCCGAGGTTTTCATTGTTGTGAGCATTTCTGTTGAGGATTGGCAGCGGGGGTGGGGTGGGGGGTGTTTGGTTTTTATTCCCCCCATCTGCTGAGTGGTTGCAGCAGGTTTTGGTCACTTCCCATGACCCTCGGATACTGTGACCGTCATAAATATGAATCAATTGCCAAGTATCTGAATGTAAATCACAAGACCCTGGAGATGCTGCAACATTCCAGCTGATCGGCGCTTCTTCTGGGCTCAGCAGAAGCTCCAGGATCAGTGCTGAGCTCCAGCTGGAGCCTGGAGCTGATCCTGGTGCTTCTGCTGAGCCCTGACAGCACTGAAGCTCCAGCCATCTCTCACTCAGGCTTGTGCAGTGCTGCCACCAGTTCAGCTCATTCCCCTCCCCCGCTACTTTTCTAGGATGGTCGCGTACCACCTGCCAGGTGCCAATGTACCACAGGTGGTACCCGTACCACTGGTTGAAAAGCCTTGCTCTATGCTGTTCTTTGGCCAATCGGATATATTCTGTGTTCTTTCATTCATTTGGATAGAGGACGGTGGGTGTATACCAGAAAATGAGAATGCCATTACTTTTAGTCTGGGGCAAACTAATGGTTATATTGCTGTTTGTTTAAAGTGACTGAAGTCTAACGTTGCTACTTCTGTGTATTCTTTTTATCTCTCATGTCACTTTATATCTTCTTCTCTAAAATTGAATTAGTGTTCTCCACAGAATATGTGATCCACAGTGCTGCTTTATAATGCCCCCAACTCACACAATGTTGGTTTGCTTCTTTGAAATGATTATATCAAAGTTTTTGACAGCTGACAGGAACAAAGAGAGCTTTTGAATATTTCAGTAGATGAGCAAGAGGTTATATGAGAAGACAGTTTTTCATGAATCATGTTTCTTAAACCACTGATAGCTTTAGAGGTCACCACTCGAAGCTTTGTCACCTTGGTACCTTCGGGATGGTCTTCTCCAAGTAGAATTTGATCTGGAAAGGGTGCTATGAGTTCCTACCTCTAGAGAAATCAGAAGGGTTAGAAACCCAGAAAATGACCTCCTCTGAGGTTAGTCCGTCCCCCACATTCCTTTATCCTTTATTTGAAGACTTTCCTCTTCTGCAAGGCTTCTGGGGAATGGTTTTTGATTTTTAAGAGTGTGCAGATATCCATATTTGTATCAACCCTTCCAGCAGTTAGTGATACTTAACATTATGGGGGTTTTTACAGCCAAAATACTGGGCTGTGTTGATCATTTTTATTTTCCAAATATAAATATGGGGTCTATCAGGAACCCAGAGGCATTCTGATTTCACCAAAATGATACTATGGGTAGATTTACGTTTTTAGCTTGACACTTCCGCTGTGAGTGAACAGGAAGCTAGTGGGCTCCAGGGGAGGTGTTGCATTGCCTTCTTATGGTTCACATTCTGCTTGCTGCTATATCTAGGTTGGAGTGTCAAAATAAAATGTATTGAAGAATGTTTCCTATTTCCTGTACATCAGATGTTAGAAAATAATCCAGTATCAGCTTGTTCATTTGCTTGTTGACTCAGATGAACTCTTAGAATATCTGTTGCTGATTTCTTGGTGCCACCAGTTTATTTTTTGATGCAACATTTCCCACCCAGGGACACCTTTTATTTCTGAGCAGAAGCATAGGGCATCCATTCAGCTGATTATTTATACTGGATGCTTTCCTCTCCTGGCTATTCCTGCATATTCACTATATGTAATAAAGGTGGGGAATAAATAAACAAACCTGTTCCTCATTAGGGAGAACCAGGGCTTTTTTTCTCATAGAACCGCCCAGAATGGAGTTCCGGCACCTTTTTTGTATGGAACCTTGTAGGGTAGGCAAGGCGGGTTGTATGACGTGTGTGAGTTCCGGCACCTTTTTTTTTTTTTTTTTTTTTTTTTTAGAAAAAAAGCACTGGGGAGAACTAATGTTCCTCTCAAGTCTCTGGTTTGCACATTGTCTGAATAACATCAAGCTCAGATTACCAGAGTACTACCAAGTTGCAACATATCTACAAAGAAACTTGTACTGGCTGATAACATTCAATAAATCTCTCTTAACAAGAACTATATTTAGGGGGAATCATATGACTAACCTTGCTTCCGATGTCATCCATGGCATGTAATGACTATAGCTTGGAGGACTTCAGATGATATCAGGCCTGATGGATTACTTGTTTTATCTTCAGTAAGATAGTATCAATACTGAATGTCTGCTGTTAGAGAAGAATTATTCTGCAATGGCTTAACATTCTTTAAAAATAACAATGCACACAGACTCGCTGCTGATTAACTGTTGCTCTTGCAAGACCAGATAATTGCAGGCCGCTTATAGGGATAGGTTTGATAGGTGCCATGCTGCTTCTCTTCTCAATTTCAGAATGCACTAGCAATTTAAATTGGAGGCAGAACGTTTTCAGCCAGCCCTAGAGTTTGCAATATTTATTCATTTATTTGGTTATTTATTTATTTAATGAGATTTATCGTTGTCATCGTCAGCCATTCAGTCGTGTCCAACCTTCGGCCACTCCAAGGATCAGTACTCTCCATGCCCCTCTGTTTTGCTTGCTTCAGATCTGCCATGGTCATCTCAGTGACATCTTTTATAG